CTTCTCTCTCTCTCTCTCTCTCTCTCTCTCTCTCTCTCTCTCTCTTCTCTCTCTCTCTCTCTCTCTCACACACACACACACACACACACACACACACACACACACACACACACACACACACACACACACACACACACACACACACACACACACGCACGCACGCACGCACGCACGCACACACACACGCACGCACGCACGCACGCACGCACGCACGCACGCACACACCCACCCCACAAACACACCCACCCACACACCCACAAACCACCCGCCCACCCACCCACACACACATACACACACCCACCCACGCACACCCACATATCCACATACACACCCACATACCCACATACCACACATTCACACACCACACCACCACCACCACCACCTCTCTCTCTCTCTCTCTCTCTCTCTCTCTCTCACACACCACACACACACACACATCCTCTCTTTTTTTCCTGTCTGCCTCTGCGTGTACATGTACATATAAGTATGTGTATATGCATGTATGTTTCATATGAATTCGTGAGCGTGTTACGTGTCACCGTAAGATCCGTGAGATCCGGCTAGGTTGGTCCGGGGACGAGATCGCTCTCTACAACGCCCACTATTCTCATCAATCGCGAGGACCGTCGAATCTCGGTAGTTCCGCCGAAATATACTCTCATATATATATATATGTATAGTGTTTATATATAATTATTTATTTATATATTTATATATTTATTTATATATGTATTTATGCTATAAAGTAGCTCAGAACTATACTCGAATCACTACTCGAACTCGCGGCGGCGATAGAACGCGTGACCGCAGCCGACGTTTCGCGTTTAAGCTAATTGCGCGTAGAAGGATGCGTTTATCCGCCGAACGTTCTCGCCGAGTCGAGAGAAATTTTGCCTATCGAACGGGTAATGTGACGCGCGTGAATATGACAGTGCGATCGAATATAGGTCTGCATTTTTTAAATAGAAAATGCTGCATCGCGTACGTCCTCACTCAATCAACATTTGTGTTTGAACACTTAGCGAACAAATCGGTCCTTTTACAGGCTACACGAGCGGAGAAAAGAAGCCCCAATTGTTTCACGGTTCATACGCGCCGATCGCAATAATAACAATCAACAAATCGTGCTCTTATCAGCTCCTAAAATTTTCTTATCTTCTCGCTTCGACAGTGAGCACCTAACTCGCTTTCCTTTTAACAGTCTTCGTCGCGCTCCTTAATTTCCTAGCGTTTGTCTATCCCGTATCGTCATCACATACCTTTATCACTAATAATTACGTCATTAACAATCGGTACACAGGTGCGGTAATTAACAGGGGCAAGATAAGGATAGAAGGGATGATCGAGTGAGAGTTCGCGGGGAAAACTGGTAATGGGGAACAGGAGAGAGATCCCCCGTCATCTCGTCGTCATTATCGCGCTCAATTACACTTAAACCCCGGCGCGGTTTCGCGGTTCCTCGTCCTCTGCAATAAGCTCTACCCTTCGTCGATGCTATTCGCTGGGCTCGCCCGCCCCGTCGCAACCCTCGCGTCCGACGGCGCGATAATATCTCGGGTCTGTCTATGTCGTACGAATGTGGCCCAACCGAGATTCGCCTATCGCGAAACCATCGGTCCTCGATTATTCGCGCCGTCCCCGGACCGTCCCGGCGGGACTCGGTTAATCACCGTTCTCCTCTACCCCTCTCCACCCTCCGCTATGTTTTTTTTTTAGTTAATACAATATATACTTTATGTATGTATCGTAACAACCGATATCTCTCCCCGATCAGCACTCACACTCGCGCTCGTCGTTTTCTCGCTCGCACACGCACATACCTCATGCTCTCGCTCGCTCCCTTCGCACGCGTTCGCGATTCTTTTTTCTCTCGGTCTATATAATATAATCTTATAACGACACGCGTATGTGTATACACCTGTGCTTCTCCGAGACGTATATCGTTCGCGCGCGTATACACATACGCGTCCACACTATATATATATGTATATATTTATATTTTATATTTATATATATATTTCTTCTGTATATATACTTTATGTTGCTTTTTTTATGTATACTTTATATATAACAATGTTTTTTTATGTTTATTTAAGGCCCAATACGTTCATTACGAAGGAAATAATCTGCAACAGAAAGGAGACGAATATACGGTTAAATAACGCTTGTACCTGGTTTGCTCCCTGTCGTAAGCACCGTATGAATATAGAACTATTCAGTCGATTGTGTATAATGTTCCTGACGTCGTTATCATCGTCACTGTCGTCGTCGTCGTCGTCGTCGTCGTCATCGTGAAGAATGCGTGTGAGATGATCGCGGTTCGCCGAACGCCAGTAGATGATCTACGCGTGATCGGACAAAGTGCTAACTTAGGTCGGCTTTGTAATTTAAACTTCCTATCACATTTTCTTTGAAGGAAAAATAGAAAAAAAAACAACAATTAATGAAGCAATCGAATAACGTATGCTTATCTTACTCGTATACAATTGCTTGAATATTGGATATCGCTGCAAGTGATATCCAATACACAAACATTTTTTTATGTACGATAAATATAGTGCGATGAATAAAGTAAATCGCTGATTTCGTGACTACAGTAGAGAGTAAAACAAAATTAAAAGTAAATTTGTGGCAGACCGTATTCGTTTCATTAGCTACCTATTTATCGTATATTGACGGACATGTACGATACTATGCTGATTATTCATTATGTATTTCCTTCAATTTGTGAAAGACACAAACAATTCCGTATTTAATGCCAAAATTTAAAGTTCATGGTATGAACATTTGACGATAATAAAGAGATCCGTGTATATTTATCTTTTTTTTTATTTTTAACCATCTAAAAACCCACTTTAAAAGAAATACATACGCACTAAATTTATTACGTTGTATCTCGAAAAGACAATCTCTCGTACAATATATTTTTTAGTTCACCTCATTCTATGAAAAAACGAAAGAGAAACTGCAACTTGAAAATTAGATTACAAAGTTCTTCTGTACGTAATGAATCCTCGAAATGCATCTGTCAACGATTAGCGAGGCCATGTACCAGCGTTCCAGTCTCGACGTGCTTTCTTCTTCGCGTGATTCTATCGTACAACTTTTCCTACTTTCTTAGATTTACCTTAAGTGTGCTTAGCTTGACGTTTCCTAGGAAGAATCATTCGACTGAGGATAGGCAACCAATCGGGTTGTCTTTCAAGAGAGGCATCATTCGATACTTTTAATCTGAGACAGTCCATCGCGACATACACTTGAAAGCCTACCGGACATTTAATTTAATTTCAACACTAATTTGCACGATAACATCATTTTCTACTGTATGTTTGATATAGCGAATAAAGTAAATTAACATAATTTTATTATGCGAGCGAAAAAGTACAAAGCGTTTCAAAAAGATATCACAATCGCAAGGATTATTGAAAAAAATCATAAATAAAAACTATTCTGAATAAAATGTTCTTTATAACAAAGTATGCAAATTAAATGCAAAATAAGCTAACTTTGTTTATCTCACAAATTTCGTAAAAGTTATCTTTAATAAAGAGAAAGAAATGAATTTGGTATTGATTATAAGTTGCGAACCGCGTAATTAAGTTTCGCAGATAAATAAAGGAAACAAAAATTCAAAGAATCGTGTCATCGATATATCTCTTTGGAACATCCTGTAGTTTGAAATCCAATCATTGGTAATGAAATGTTCGCTCTCATCGACATTGAAACAAACTTATCCTGCGTACCTCTTATAGTTACGCATCCTTACGAATTATCCATTACGATTTTCCAATTCGAACATGTTAATCGTAATAAATTTTATAATTACGAACGAGAAACATCTTAAAATATATATAGACGCATACAAAGTTTAACATAGCGTAAATAAGCAAAATCTAACGTTTAACAAATAAGTTAGTGCGTATTACGGTCAATATGACGCTATCCGGTAGGCTGATCGGTTGACTTACAAGCCACCTTCAGAGTAACTGCGGATGACAGGGAGAATGAATCAGAGTTTTTAGATTAAATTCGTATTTTCGCGATGTAATATATAGCATCGTAAATGGTCCAACCATTTCTTTAGCGTTCAGAAGAGATGGAGTAGATTAATATAAAGTTAGCAAAATTGAGATTTTCCAAACAATCTTTAAATTCTAATTCAGTTTCAATCATATTCATCCGTCGTTAACATATTGTACTTTGATTTCTCGTTCAGGACGTCCAGACAATGCGGTTTAAGATCTTACATTTGTAGAAGAGATTTGATTGAAAGAAAATTGCTGGTACTATTAAACGCTATGAATTGCAAAGTCTGATAAGTCAGATTTTTGTCACTTTTCGAGGGATCGAAGAGTCGAGGACGTTTCGGAAAGAGAAACAGGGTCGATCTGATTTCGAATCAGATTGTGGTAACCGTATAAGCATATTTACAAATTATTATTTTCTAATTCATCAGTTTGAACCCCTTTAACGGCAGTATATTGAGTTCATCTCGTTTACGGTTTTCAGTTCACACTCAGTGTGTCATAAGCAGCAATCTATTTATTCAAATTATCGTTAAAATAATAATTAATGATTAAGAAAAAGTAATAATCACTTGTATTGTGTAAAAATAGCGTTTGTAAATTTTGTGCTCCAGTTGTATGCTTTCAAATAAAATATAAGTAACGGTAGATTTAACCGAGGATTTTCAATAATTTCTTTCAAATGTTAAATAAATATAATTTACCGGTTAAAGGGTTAAAACTTGCATAGTGTTTATTATGTCGCATTGTTTATTATGTCATATGCATCCCACGAGTTAAAATATAGTAAAAAAATTCGTACACGCGGACAATCGGGAGTTCGTTCACGTTTGCTCTATTCTTAAAGATTCATTCGTTTTCCTTGCAAGCAGAAAGAAAAATATTATATACAATGTAGCACGATGTAAGACTCCCGAATGTTCAATATACTGGTACTCGGACAAGCGACTTTGTAAAAACCGATGTCAGGCAACTATTTATGTTTGCTGTGAAAAGTATACCGATAACTCGAAATTTAATCCTTTCGTTTGTGTATGCGATAGTGTGTTAAGAATACATATTTTATGTATTACATATTAATTTAATTAAAAAAGAATTAGAAACTCTTATCACAAAAGCGTGTAGATACTTCATACATTTCTTGTGTCCCTTAATAAAATAATTCCGATTTGGAAAGCATATTGTTGCCGCGTAAAATAATAAAATATTTTTATGTAATTTATATTCCTATTAAGACTATACGATTTCTGTAACAATTCTACATGTTAATATATTAAATAAATATAATGTAATATAAATATAGAAAATGGAAACACACATTCTCCCTTATCGCGTACCTTTTCGTTGAAATATGTGATCTTGTATATATCCACACGATGTTATTTTACCTTATTCATATCAGTAATTATATTATTAAGAATTTCTCAAATACAAGCCCGCTTGTATTTTTTAACTGTTAATATGATTTTATTCAAACTTAATTTTGATAAAAATCTGATAAAAAACGTATACATACTTTTTTCGATATCACGAAGACTACAAAGTCATTTATTTAGAAGCAACAAAATTCATGCGATATCACTGGTCATTAAAAATGGCCAATATTTGAAATATCAATCTATAAAAAGATATATTTAAAATCTTTATTTGGATTTTAGTACGTGCATGTATTTATAAACCCTTTGTAACAGTGACTTATAATTGTTAACTTCAATTTTATATTTCTAACTATTAACTTCAAAATTATTAAAATGTTTACTTTGTGCACTAAATTTATCACTTTTGTGCATTTTTTTTCAAATAAAACAACGTTAAACAATTTTAATTTCATTTTTATGACTCTATTAAACCATTCTAGAAACACTATAGCTTTCTTTTATTTTACATTATTTGATATTTAAACGTGATTTGTTCATCTAATATAAGAATAGCAATCACGACTCAATCGTAATCACGAGGTGAGAACTGTAGAATCACATTTAGTGCTAATTGCGACATGTGTAACTACGAGCCGATTCTAAATCGCAGTATTCAGACGAGCATTCTGACATCGTTTCTCGTTTCTCCGAGTACCGAGCTCTTAATAAATCATCTTAAAAGTAGTCGTCTTAAAAGCACGAATCTCCGATCCGGAGACTCGTGGAAGCTAACATAATGTAAACGACTGCCAATGATTCGCGCTGCCTCTGTCCCGTTGTTCTCGACACAGGCAACAACCTCTTTTCAATCGTTTCGCGACGAGACGGACCGTCGACACGATCGCTCGATCTGTTGACGACACTCGTGTTACCTCGTCTTTCATCATTCGAGATCGTTCTCGTCCGAGCCTGGCTCGCGGATTCTTCCTAGGAAGCGTCGCCACTTCCGGTCCCCCGGGCCATGAGATCGTCGGGTATCTCTCTTCCGGGACGGTCGGACTCACCTTGACCGAGCAAGGTCCGGGACGCTATTCGCGCTCCTGTTCGCTCGGCAGCGCCGGGACGACGTTCCGCGCCGCGTCGCTCGTTCAGCTATCGACGCTGAAGAGTTCCTTGTGGAGGGCCGGGAACTCGAGGTGCGGCTGCGACCGCTTGAACTTCGCCAGCGCGTCCATGTGCAGCAACGAGATCTCCCGTAGCTGCGATATCTTCGCGAGGATCGCGTCGCACACGGTCACGTCACCCTTGATCGGCGTCACATGGTTCCGATCCAGTTCCGACCTCAACGCTCTGATCACCGCCTGCGACAGCCTATTGATGTCTCCCAGGCACTTCAGTCCCGGTCGCTCTGCGCAAAGTAATCGTAGGTCAGTCTAACTGCGGTGTTGCTTGAATAATAGCAAGAAGCCGAGAGACTTCTCTAATTCTGTCTAATGTCTTCAAGTTGATTAACCTTACAGACCTTTCTTCGGAAGAATTGTCGTCAGACACTTCCATACATTATATTTAAAAAAAACACGATTCTTTTTCATTCATAATATAACGAATATGTTGATAAAGAAAGGTAATAAAATATGTATTTATGTACGTAATGAAATATGTATTCGATACGCAGTACTCGCTGAGGCAAGCTTTAAGCGCGAGTATTGGAACATTGAAATTTTCAAATTCTTTTCAGCTCGATGATATACTTATACGTGGATATCTTTCAAATACAATTTCATAAAATTTGATTCTGATAGGCCTGCGAGACACCCTGTATGCTCGTATCACTCACCAGGGTTAAGTAGAACAACCGCGCTATAGAGCGCCAACTCGGTTTCGGTGAGCTTCAGTTCGGCGATGCTTCTGGCCACCTCGAACACGCAGGTAACAAGCTTCATTTCCGCCGTATCCGTCGTATAAAACGCCTCCTGTGGTAGCAAGGCGTCGCCGTATAGGACGCAGTTTTGCTGGAGATCGAGGTACCTGCTCATTCGTAGCACAGCCAACTCGAAGGAACCTATTACATTTCAGCAGGCTATTAGCATAGATATTACACTTCTTCGTTTTCACTTATCTAAATTCTTTGAAAAACCTATGACGGGGGTTATCTTTCGCTATTCTAATGCAACAAGAAGCGATTGCATATCCGAGCATGGCAACTGTACTTATCAATTTATTAAACGTGTAAAGAAAACTGGCAAATGTTCGAAAAAATTTTTCATTATTTTCCCGACGATAAAATATTAATTGGACGAAAGAACAAGATCGTCAGTGGCCGTGTGCGTAAAATAAGTACAATACGGTCACTTACCTGCTCCACTTAAGAATTAAAAGTAGAACAATTAATTTTCAGAATAAAATTCTAAAAATTTGCGGTCGAGTAGAGCGCAGGGGCACGCGAAAGAGCAATAAAGCTTTATCGCTGGTAAGCGGGGAACCGTGCTAATGCCGTCGCATTTACGTACCGGCCTTTAATAAAACAATCTGGTCGTCCTGCGAGAGCTTCATGAATCCAGGGACCATTTTGGCGAACTCGATGATCTGCTGGATGACGGTGGTTAGCTTCTGGGCGCACTCCAGCCAGAGCTGCTCGTGCGCCATGTTCTTGTAGTAGATCATTCTGGAGATGTCGGTGGGCTTCCGGAAGGACTCCTGGATCTGTTCCGTCGACACCAGGCATGTCCTCGCGTGCGCGTCTGCTATCGTTTTCGAGAGAAGCTCGCTGATCTGTGCCGGATCTGCGAAAGTCCGGCGGAATTTCCGCTCGTAATAGGCTCCTTTCATACATCGTGTACATGTTTAAAAAAAAATAATAGCGATATAAAAGACGGAAGAACTTATTCGGCGAAGAAAGATCTTCAACATATCTCAAGCACCGTAAGTGTGCAATCGTATAATTCATTTTTTTTTATTAATCCATCGTTGCAATAATTATTTATATATAACATCAGTTATATATAACATATATAACAAATTATACATAAATTATTTGTATATAATATCACATAGCGAAGATTAAAAACGAATAGAGACACAAAGATTAATTATCTTTATGTAATCATCTCAGAAGTTGTTTTTTCTAATTAGTAAAGAATTTTATTCTTGTATCGATCGGTCTCATATTGAGGAATATGTTATTTTTTATAAAGAGATATTTGGTACAAGGACCCCAAATAGGGATATAATATAATAATGACAACGATTTGAACGAAATGATTTACTCGGCGGATTATGTTGCAAAGAGATAGATAACTCATGCTGAGAGAAGGTACATTCGTGCAAAAGCATTTCGTGCGTATACTTATATACATATATAAAGGTTAGATACTGATTAATCAACAAAAATTAAAGATAACATATAAGTATCTCTACATAAAAATATATCCATTAAAAATTTGTTATACGTTTAACGCGGGAAAATAATATTTTGTTTTTAAAAGAATATAGTATTTACTTATATACATTTTGTAATATTTATACAATAAACTCGGAAACCATCTCTAAACAAAAAATGCGGCCACAAAAACAAAATGTAAAAAGACCTAAATAAACTCCACATTTTGTATAATTGTGGTACGTGAAATAAATAGAAGCAAAAATGTATAGAATTTTGTGAGAAAAATTTACGGAGTTTATAAATTATTTATATATAATATCACACAGCAGATTAAAAACGAATAGAGATACAAAGATTAACAAACGGTAAATTTGAGAAGAATGTATTCACTTGTGTGCGTACAGCATTTTGTGCGTACAGACAATAAATTAAAATAACCACTTTCAAACAAAAAATACAGTCACAAAATAAATATAAAAAGGATTAAATAAACTTTTGTAATTATACCATGTAAAATTAATAAAAACAAAAATAAATAGCATTTACAGAGATTACAAATTATTTTTGTATAACGTGATGCAAAGAAGATTAAAAAATGAATAGATGTAAAGATTAATAATATAAAAACTAATAAAGAAAGATTAATAAACGTTTTACAATTTCTCTGGCAATGTAACTGCAAAAAGGTTAAGCATGAAGAAAAACATTTTACATTAACAAATATTGCATACGTAAGATAAACATTCAAAATAACATGCGCAATGCAAACGTTCAACTTTCGAGATGAAGTTTTCGAGGACCAACATTTCACCGTGTAATTAAATACACTAAAACGTTTATAATAATTTTATCGCGTCAGCAAGTAGATAGCGTCGTACCTTGTAACATAAAAGAGCAAGTAATTTCCATTTTTGAATAACTCTTTATGAATTTTTCATGAGGCTGGACTAGTTTCCACGTTGATTAATGAATTTCGTTGGCAAATCACCTTTCCTCAAGATTCCATATTATAACATAATAGTTTTACCTCACTATATTATCTTAAATTATTTCAAGATATAACGGTATAATATTCTTAATCACTATGGCCCATTTATCTCGAGAGAAAAAAATATGCGTATACGTGTAGATTCAGAAATCTAGTATCAAAGTTTTATAAATTACAAAGCTAAATAAGTTATGTAAAGCTAAATTGATAAACAGAACACGTATATTATTTTTAATAAGACTTTCCAAGTTTTTTTAAATTGCGTTGTTGAAACAGACCACAAATCACATCTCCTACAGATGCCAATAAGCTTAGTTTAGCAATTTCTTGTATCGCGTTCGTATCCAAATTTGTATACCAAATAGACGTGTGTAAAACATATATTTTTCAGAGAGTGGCACGTCAATATAAAAAGATTAAAAAAGAAATACATTTCGAGGAGCCCCTTGTTAATTAAATTTCACGAGATTCTTCCACAAAAGGATTCGATTGGTCCTCCAAAGCTTCGCAAGGGATCGAGCAAGTGAGCCGGGGGATGAGGGCATGCAAAGGGACACAAACGTAAACCTCACATCTCATCGCATGGGACATACTGGGCAGACTCGGCACTTCGTCATCCTCAGACGGGTTGCTGACCCTCTGTTGCTGTCCGCTAAGGAAGGTCGTCGAGTCAACCATCGTGTACGAGCCGTGGCCCAGACCGGGGAGCTCGACGGTGGTCTCCTGCTTCACGGCGACGATTCCGCCGCCGCTCAGGGAGCCGCTGCCGCCGCCGCCGCCACCGCCACCGCCACCCCCGGCAGTCCCGCCGGCGGCCACGGTGGAACCACCGCCGCTGCCGCCACCACCGCCGCCGCCGCCGCCGCCGCCGCCGCTACCACTACCATTACCGCTACCAGTACCGCCACCGTTACTACCACCACCACTACTGCCGCCGCCGCCGCCGCCGCCACCGCCTCCGCCTCCTCCGCCGCCGGTACCGCCACCCCCTGCACCGCTCCCGGTCGTCGAGGCGGACAGAGACTTCCCTGATGTGCCGAAAAGTCAAAGTTCACGAGGGCTTGAATCGGTCTCGAGGGTTGGACCGAATAGGTCTAAATATTTCAGTTCTGTGAATGAGTCCTATGCAGGGCCTATCTTACGTCTGGACAAACTAGAATGTGTGCACGTGTGCGGGCGTTGTGTATATGCGCACCTCTTACGTTTCTTTTATTAAAGTACAGCGTAGAGAAATAATCTGTTCTTCTCTTTCATTTTTCTATTAAAGTATGAAGAATGTGAATGGCACGTATACAATATACATTTTGTTTAAATTTCTAAGAAATCTGCTTGAAATATTTCAGTGAGAGAGAACATTCTTAAATAAGATTGCGTCAAACTTTTTAAGGGTTGTCTAGCGGAAAAATTTTAATTATTAAGTTCCGTATTAATTATAATTTCAGTATTAAATAGTTCGCCAAATTTTACCCAAACAATCACTAAAGAAAAGTGGAACGTAGCTGAAAACCTTTCTGTTGATAGTAATAGCTGCTGAGGAGACACTTTGTACAATTGAAAGCGGACTATATACAATTGAACTGAATTGAAACTATTATCAAAGCATCTGTAAAGATTCACATAAAGCTTCGATTAAAACTTGGAACGAGTCTCTCAATAAATAAAAAGATAAGTTCACTATAGCATATATGTCATCGCCATATCTTTGTGAAGTGAAGAACGTGGCATTACGTTCAAATGTTGCGAGGATAATGTTTCCCCTCAGCAAAGATAAATGTATTCTCTTCCGCGATAATTTCGTCGAGAAAGAAAAATTTCAATCACGTTACACAAATAATCGTTAGGACAATTTTGCACTCGTATTTAATACTGAATTTTGAAACTAAATCGTGTAGAAACGCAATCTATTATTCGATATTATGATGTTAACTCACGCACAAAACGCTAAATAACAGACGTTTTAATAACATGGCAATATTTAAAAGTTGTTCTTATAAATACTTTTCATACTTTTGTGATTATTATAAAATTAGAAGAATAAAACTTTTTTGTTTAATTCCTGGTGATATATATAGCCTTTCTAATTTCAGTAATTCTTTCTGAGAATGTGTGTGTATGTGCGCTGTCTTCAGCGAATAATAAACATCATCATTGATCCACTTCGTTCCTACGCAAAATTTCGTCATCACGTATTGAATCGAAGTCAGGCTTGATCGATCTCGGTGAAACTACACGTTGCAAATCTTGTTGATTAAACTCAAGTCAACTCGAAAACGAACATGATCGATTTTGCGGCGCGAAAGACGCAGGTATACGTGGCACGGATACATTAATAAATTGTCAAGTAAAGTGTAAAACTTTAGTAATAAGATTGAAAAGAGATGTGAATTAGAAGAATGTAATCAATATTAAAATTAATCGTAAACATTTTCTTTATAAACGTATACTTGTTTACGTGAAGTTAAATTTTTTTCATTATATGTAAATTTTTATACGATCGTATATATTTATAGAGAATTGATAACATCCCGATTATGTAAACTGACAATGAGTTGCTCTCTTTCAATCGAGTAATATGAAAAAAATTTTGAGTACAAATTAATACTGTATATACAAATATGAATAGATTAGAAAGATTACTTTTGTGTAAAATTTTTCCGAGACCAACGGAAGTACTTGCCACGTAAAAGTAAATAATATCAGAATAGGAATCGCAAAATAATTATTAATGATTAATGATTGCGAGATAAAGTTCTGTAACGTGTATGTGTATTATGTATAAATGTATATAAGTGTCAGTTATGACAAAAGTTACGAAGAAATATTTGTGCCGATGTTGCAGAAACGATTGTCGCGCAATAGAACACGGAGAATATTTGCGGTTTTGCCTGAGAAATCATTATCGATGACAAGGACGTGAGATGGAAGGAACTCTAGTAACATTAAAGACGCGAACGCAATTAACTCTGGGTTAATGACAGTGCTCCGGAATGCATTTAGCGTGCCGGTTACGAAGCGAGAACTTAACAGTTGTGCTTATAAGATTACAATTCTAATTTAGCAGGTAGGTACTTATTAAAATGATCTCTTATGTAATGCACTCGTACCAATTTTGTCCTTTGCCTGATCCGATTTTATTTTGCATCGAGACAAATCTATGCCGATGAGGATGTTTGTGTAAAAAAACATAAAAATTATGTGGAAATTTTAGCAAAAGCCGTCGCTGTTAGTTTTATTCCATTGAAACCGTTTCATGTCAAATGAAATGTTTATGTACCTTTGAAATAAATTAAAATGTAAAAAATTAATAAACGTGAAAAAGAAATCATCTCTTTATATTCATACATGAAATTTTTAATAAATCTTACGCATTGAAAATTTACAATTTATGCAAACATAATATTTTTGTTAATGAAAAAGTATTGGCACAAGATACAAAAAATTGGATTATGCAGCGCGTTTCAGAACTATCGTTGTTCACTTCCTCAAGAATTCTTTGAGCAACTTGGAATACAGTTTTTCTTAATGGATATTTGATTGGATATTTGTTTTCTCATAACTTTGTAACTTCCCTCATTAAATATCTCAGTAATTATAAGCCCCAGTTTAAAATATTCTCGTAAAATAGAGTTCAGTTAAAACCAGCTAAAAAGCAGATTATAATTCGTTATATGTATAAAATTGAATTCGATAAAATCTTTTACGTCCATTCCTCAATACATCAATAATCTATTATTATAGAAATTTATTATTATAGAAATTATTACTGTACGTACATACTACCGTTTGCTATATTGTAGCTGATAATTTTGAAAACCTATTTACATAAGTGCTTTCGGACAATATACAAATTTTCTTCCTTTATTGTCTCTTGATGATAAAGAAAATTGAACCTCTCTGACTCTCTATTACGGGATTTCTGTTTTCTATGTTACAACAACTGTATGTCTTGTCAATCAATCAACAATAATGTGTCACGATATTATTGTTTCGTTCGATAACGCGCGCTCAGGTATCGCGCTGGGATCAACATGGGGGGTCCATGTGTACCAGAAATTACGAATGAAGCACTACTTACCGGTAGTGACCACGCTGGAGAGCACCCCGGCCGGGGTGACGGTCGAGGGTGTGTCGGGCGCGACGGTGTCTGCGACCTGCGTCTGCGTCGGTCTGGGGTCGTAGGTCGTCGTGCTGTCGACGTAGTCGGCGCTAAGCTCGTAATTCGTCATCGCCTGATGATTGTAATTCGTGTAACCGCCGGTGCCGGGGCCTGACGACGTGTATTCGCTACCGCTGTACGTGTACCTGTCGAGGACAAATGACAGGTCCGCGTGAGTCCAGCCCGTTCACGAGAAACGCAAGCTGATCGGAAAGAAGTAAGAGGAACGCGTTTTTCCACGGTCTGCCCATTTATATTCAACTTGATATTGCGACAGCGACAGACAGCTACATTAAGCTGACGTGTGTGCTTTTTATAAGTTGCAGATTTTCTATGTAGAGTGCTATCCTCTCAGAAAGGATTTCTGATGAGACAACACATTTTCTCGATGTATTTAAACTAATGCGGTAAAAGAGTAAAATAGTATTAAGATTAAAACAATAATTCCTTTTCTCCTCTCGCGAATTAAATAAGATTGACTTACTATACTGAGATAAGGGTCGCATATACAGGGTGAGTCTTTCCATATCCGACAAAATTTTTGAAAAGGTAGAACGGATCGAGATGAATGGAAAAGTTCTGTACCATTTTGCAATTTTCGTAATAGTTAACGAGTAATTAATTATTAAAAATTGTTGTCTTAGGCCGGCCTACCGCCCAATTCGAGCGCGTGGCAAGATGTGACCGCCCGGCGATCGATATTGCTATGCGCACATCTCGCCACGCGCTCGAATTGGGCGGTAG